TTCTAGAACACATGGCCTTGGGCTGCAGTAATTATTTTAAGCCATGTAGATAAGGCAGCCCAACATAAATGAGGCCCAAATCTTCTCCACAGATCAAAGAGCAAAACCCGGTCCAAATATGTATATACAAAGGCTGAGAAATATCGGACATAGACCAAAACCTAAAACACTTCATCTCTCAACTTTCTTTGTCGGAAACTTCTAAAATCGACTAACACCAACACCCCCCCTCAAGTTGGAGGGGGAGGTACGAACACCCAACTTGCCCAGTAGATGATGATGAAGTGAGCCTGTTAGAGGCTTAGTGAAGAGATCGGCAAGCTGAGAACTAGAACGAACAAAAGAGAGAGAAATTAGCCCAGCAAGAAATTGTTGGCGCATAAAATGACAATCAATTTCAACGTGTTTTGTCCGTTCATGGAAGACTGGATTTTTTGCGATGTGGAGGGCAGCTTGGCTATCTGAGTGAAGGGGAACGGGCAAAGAAATGGGTATGGAGACATCGTCGAAGAGGCGGACCAACCAAGTGAGTTCGGCGACAACACGGCGCATAGAACGATATTCGGCTTCAGCAGAACTGAGAGAGATGGGAGACTGCTTCTTGGACTTCCCGGAAATAGGAGAGGTACCTAAGGAGATATAAAATCCACTCACTGACCGGCGAAATTCCGGGCAAGTCCCCCAATCAGAGTCACAAAAGGCGAGTAGCTGAAAAGAAGTTGAAGCAGACATAAATAGGCCAAGACCGGGATCTTTCAAGAGATATCGAAGCACCCTAAGTGCTGCATCAAAATGAGGTTGTCTGGGGTCTTGCATGTACTGACTTAAGTGCTGCACCGTGAAGGACAAATCTGGTCTGGTATGAGTAAGGTAATTGAGTTTCCCCAGCAAATGTCTTTACAAAGTCGGGTCTTTGACAGGATCCCCTATCACGGCCAACAAACGCACAGAAGAGGCAAGGGGAAAGGAGACAGGACTCAAATTCAAAGAGTCAAATTCCTGTAGTAGATCTAAAGTGAACTTCCGTTGAGAGAGAATCAAGCCTTCAGGTTCTCTGATCACTTCCATGCCTAAAAAGAAATGTAAGTCTCCAAGGTCTTTAATTTTAAACTCCTGATGTAAGAAATCCTTTAGGGCATGTAATTTGTATTATCATTTCCTGTTAAAAGAATGTCATCAACATAAACTGCAACTATAGAAATACATGATCATGTCTTTTTGAAGAAAAGTGAATAATCATTCATGGAATGAGTGAAACCCTTAAAATTTAGAGTTGTAGTAAGTTTAGCATACCACTGTCGTGAAGCCTAACGAAGCCCATAAAGCGATTTCCTTAGTCTACAAACATGATTAGGAGAGGGTGGTGTAAGTCCAGCAGGAAACCTCATATAGACTTCTTCATGTAAATCACCGCGTAAAAAAGTATTATTTATGTCCAACTGATAAAGGTCCCATCCCTTTTTAACAGCAGTAGCTAAAATACACCTAATTGTGGTCATTTTAACCACCAGTGAGTAGGTCTCATTAAAATCAATGCCTTCCTTCTAGATGTCGCCCCTTATCACTAACCTTGCTTTCAATCTCTCCACTGTCCCATCAGAATGCTGCTTAACTTTATAAACCCACTTGCATGGAAAAGCTTTCCTTCCTTGTGGTAATTCCACCACTTCCCAAGTTTGATTGTGTTCTAGTGCCTCAATCTCCTTTGCCATTGCCTCCTGCCATCCTGGATGATGTGCAGCCTGTGTAAAAGAGACAGGTTCTTGTATATTTGAAAGGGAAGCATATGTTGGTTAGCACAAGATAGACCACTAAAGGAAATAGAAGAAGGAGTAACAGGTGTGAGAAAGCAAGAGTTGCTCACATCTGTGACTTGCAAGGCATTGCAGATATAATCTTTGAGATAAGCTGGAGTGATGTGAGGTCTAGAAGACTTTCTGATTAGATTCTCCATCATAGGTTCAGTTCTAGGAGAAGAGAAGAGAGGTGGAGGATTGCTGGACATGGACTGAGGAGAGGGACTTGAACTATGTCTAGAAGGAAGAGGTGATGAGACTGGGATAGTAAGAGGGGATGGAGCAGGAATAGGGTGAGAAGGTGTAGATCCTGGAGAGATGGTGGTGTGAAGGTGAGAAGTGGATGTATCAGGGAGTGGTATATCTAAAGAAGGCAAGTGAGCTGCAGGTAGGATAGGTGTAGAACAAGAGTGTGAAATAGAAGCAAATGGGTAGAATTCCTCATGAAAAACTACATCCCCGGAAATGAAAGTTCTCATAGTTTTAAGGTTAAGCACCTTGTAGCCCTTCTTACCATGTGGATACCCTAAGAATACACAAGCAACTGCCCTTGGATCAAATTTAGTTCTGTGGTATGGGGTAGTAGAAGCAAAACACAAACGACCAAAACACCTCAAAAATGAATAGTCTGGTTTGGACTTAAATAGAATCTCATAAGGTGTTTTAGAATGCAAAATCCTTGAAGGAAACCTATTGATTAAGAAAGTGGCAGTGAGTAGACAATCCCTCCAATAGGCCTTAGGCAAATGTGATTGAAATAATAGGGCCCTAGAAATCTCTAATAGGTGTTTATGCTTTCTTTCTACTACTCCATTTTATTGAGGAGTGTGGACACAACTGGTTTGGTGAATAATACCTTGGGATAGAAAGAATTTTGATTACAGCGTACCATTTCCTAACTCAAAGGCATTGTCAGACCTTATAACTTTTACCTTAGTGTGAAACTGTCTTTCTACCATTGTTAAAAAGGATTTCAAAGTGGTGAAAGCATTAGACTTTGTACTTAACAAGTAGGTCCAAGTGCCTCTGCTAAAATCATCAACAATGGTTAGGAAATAACTAAAACCATCATGAGTAGGGCTGCTATAAGGTCCCCAGGTATCCACATGTAGCATGTCAAACACTTTCTTGGTAGAAATGGTGCTTAAAGGAAAAGGTAACTTTGTCTGTCTTGCCATAGGACAAATAGTACAAGGAGTAGAAAAAACAGAACACTTTGGAATATAGTCTGATGAAATGTTCTTCATATTACTCAATGGCATATGGCCTAATCTATAGTGCCATAGCTTTTCTTTTACATTTGGATCAGAAAACACAAAACAAGAATTAAAACTAGGACTGGAATGTGAATTACTTTTGGAAACAGAAAAATTAGTTGACTTAGATAAACTCTTAGGAACATCAGTTGAATGACTTGATTTGAGAATGTAAAGTCCTCCCTCTTCTCAACCAATCTTCATAGGGCTCTTCAGTGAAGGGAAGGGGTGAATAAGACATATTTCCTGAGTTGTCTGCATAATTTATGCACGGATAAGAGGTTGAACCTGCAGAATGGAATATATAGAACATCCTGTAAAACCACATTAGGTAGTAATGAAACAGAACCTGAATGAGCGACTTTGACTCTATAGGAATTAGGGAGTTTTACCATGAGAGGTTTAGGTAAAGCTTTAAACTCAATGAAGAATTTTCTAGAAAAACACATATGCTCTGTAGCTCCACTATCTAATATCCATGAATTGCTGTCAATTTGAAAAAAACAGGCATAGGAGTCAAAAAATTTAGCTATACCAGCACAACTCAGGATGGCTGAAGCATCAGAAGTGCCTGCTCCCTGCTGTCCCAACTTCACCTGTCGAAGAAGTTGCAACAATTCTGCCGCATTCTTGGGTGAGTGCCTGAACATTTTCTGCATTGTTTGTTGGTTGGACTCTTGCTTCTTCTGAGTTAAAAACATTGTTTGCTTGCACCTGCCCTCTTCCTTGAAATTTCTTCTGATTTGTGAACTTAAAGTCATTAGGGAAACCATGAAGCCTATAACACTGCTCTATGGTATGACCTGGCTTTTTGCAATAAGCACAAATCTCATTTCCCTTCTTAGACTGAGACATACCCTTCTGTTCTTTGTTATTTTTGAACTTACTGAAGTTTGCTGATTGAGTGGCAACATTAAAAGAGGCCGAATCACCAGGATAAACAGGTGTAGCATGGATTTCCCTTAGGGAATAGGCTTGACCAATGTTAGGTAAAGGTGAGGTTAGCAAAATGTTGCTTCTGACACCAATGAATGCATTATTTAAGCCCATCAGGAACTGCAGTAGCCTTTCATCTTGATGTGCTTTCTGTGTTTTAGCTTTAGCTCCACAGTTGCAATCACACACACAGGCAAAAAAGGTGTTGAGAGCATCAAGTTCATTCCATAGGCTTTTCATTTTAGTGAAATAGCTAGATACACTAGTGTTACCTTGCACAACAGCATTGAGTTCCTTTTGCAATTGAAACAACTTTGCTCCATTTGTCTGACCAAAATCTATCCTCCAGGTCACTCCACAAATCCTTTGCACTTTGGGAGTAGAGGACAGATTCAACTATCTCTTTTGATAGGGAGTTCAACAACCAGGAGAGCACCATGTCATTGGTGCGAGCCCAAGCCTTTTGAAGTCCAGAATCTGCATCAGGGACAACTAGGGATCCATCAATGAACCCTAGTTTGTTTTTGGATGATAGAGCAATGACAACTGCTCTCCTCCATCCTCCATAACTCTTGCCATCAAAAAACTGAAGATACCAGGTTCATGCCTGGATAATCTAAAGGGTGAAGGTAGTAGGGGTGAGCTGAGTCTACAATCCCTGCTCCAGTAGGAGCTGCTGTAGCAGGAACACCAGTAGTAGAAGTAGTTGAAATATGGGTTTCAGGAGTACCCATGATTGATTGTGTTTAAGAAAGGAGAATGATGAAAGAAAATGTATTGAATTATGAGCAGATCAGACCTGCCCTGATACCACGTAGAAAGTAAAGAAGAGCAACGTATGAAAATTTCCTTTCTCTGTATATTTTCTGCTGTACAAGGCTAAGGTATAAATACAAGAAGAAAAGGAATCTAGGCTAAAACAGAAATGCCAAGTGGCATGCACCTAATGGCTAAGTTATAATTGAAAAATTCCTACACTATAACTAACATGTCAGATAAATACAAGAAATATAAAAAGCTATTTAGAGGGTGTATATATCTTGTTCTGATCTTCTAGAACACATGGCCTTGGGCTGCAGTAATTATTTTAAGCCATGTAGATAAGGC